ATAAGGTGTGTATTTTAAATATTAGAATGTATGAGCAATTGGGATAAAGGAATTGTATTTAATTAAAATTTGGAAAAATTAAATATTAAATGTAATCTGAATGTCTACAAATAATTATTTGAATTATTTGAATTTAAGATATTGTTATGAGTTGAGACAAAGGTTAAGTAAAACTTAAAAGTATAAGTACTAATAATTAAATTTGTATATGGGTTTGTGGTATAAATGTTGGTGGTTTATTTTCATTTTTTTTCTCTTTCTGGAAAGGAAGAAAGGAAGGAAGTGAAAGGAAGAAAAGAAAAAAAAATATTAGCTCCAAATGTGAGATAGGAGACTTAGAAATTGGGATCATTTAAAACCTGGAAATGATAAAGATTAAACGTTAAACTTAAATATCAATGGCAAATTAAAGTTAAGAAAAACTTACTAGGTTATTGTCTAAAAGGTGGAATGTCAAATTAATTAAGATATGTATAGACTGAAGATTATTGATGAATATTAGAAAGGTATTTTTGTTTGATTAATAGAATAAGAACAGTATTGGTTTGAACATGACAGTAGATATCATGGGGGAAAGAGAGGGAATTAGTTTGTTGTAATAATTTGAGATTTGTACTGATGATATTCAAATGTAATGGAATTACTACGCTCAGCCGCCATGCTACTTTTCAAATTTGTAAATGTAGTATTGTAAAATTAATAAAAAACTTGAAACTGAAAAAAAATATCAAGTCTCCAAGTAAGAGCCCCTTTTATTTGATTTTATCAGATGGACACAAATGATCAGGAAAAAGTGATCTTAAGCCAGCAGACTCCAAGAGACTACTGGCATCAGGACAGAATTTCAGTTACATCATCTGTTGGGCCAGAGGTCTAGTGCAAAGATGGGTATCATCAGTATATGGACAACACTGTATCTGTGATAACAGGTGATCTCCTTCAGTGCTTTCATATAGAAACTAAAGAAGATTGGAAAAAATGCTAGCCCTATGTAGTACCTCATATACAAGGGGCTTCAGACTCAATTTTTCTTTTTCTATTGAATAGAACTGCCCCATCAAGGAGGAGGAGAGAACTGCAATATCAAGTTCCAACTCTTGAGGTGGCTCAAGAAAATAATTATGATTGCTGGTATTAAAAGAAGATCCGCCTGCCTGTAAAGTTAGTATTGATTAATCCAAGATCAACTGGAGAGTGATCTGACCCTGACAAGAAAGAAGTGGACCTCCTATATTCAGATTGCATCATATCAGAGCAAAATCAAATATTTTTTTAAATAAGTGCAATAAACAAATTTAATAAAGAAGCCTAGAATCGTGTACGTGAGATGGGCAGTTATACAACTGAATAAATAAATGCACACACACACACACACACACACACACACACACACACACACACACATACGGAAAAGAGAAGTGCTTTAAACATTATGTGAAGGGCCATATCCTACAGAATTGTTATGTTTTGATGGTGTTCGGGATGTTTATTCAAAATTCTAAATGTATCTGTGGCTTGAAAAGATGGAGATCCTTACTTTATCCAATTTGAACTCGATTGCTTAAGTAATCAAAATAGGATCCAAATAAAACTTTTCACAAAACAGCATCTATAGGTTGACTAAGTACAGACACATATAATTATGCATTTTTAACACCCTCATTTCCAAAATGAGAGCTATCAGAACATCTGTGGCATTTAGATGCAGCAAGCGATTCTACTGTCAAACATTCTGCATTCACTATTGGAATAAAAAGTATTCTAGATAATATTTCATGTTTATCCCTTTCTCAGTAATATCACTATACCTATTTATGTTCTTATGCCAAAGTGCTTCCACATAAATGTAAAGTTTTCTATAACACAAAAGACTCGAAAATACAGTTGTTATTCAAATGCTGTTTCAAATACAAAGAGGTTCTGTATACTGAGATACCCTGTGACCTTAATTACAACTGTTTTCAGTACCAAGCAGATGGGGATCATTTACAGAAAAGAGCCATTGATATTTATTCAGGAAAGTTTAAAATGACAAATACTTTTATTGAATAAAATCTTTATGTTCAAGGGTATTATAATATACAGGAACAGAATCCTATGTTTTTCAAAACAATAGCACCCATCTAAAGCAACATATACTTAAACTACAAAACCAATGTTTCAATCCTTTAGCTTTTTCTTTTCTTCCTATCACTTTTCCTTCATGTATTTTTGTAAATACACAATACAGTAGTAAAAATTAAGTCGCATCAATTCTTACTTGCGTTATGATTTAATATTTTATAAATTATTTCCATTTTAGAAGAGACAGAAGAAACCTTCTGTCCTAATATTTTAGAGATGAGAATTGTTGGAAATATAGACATAAAAAAGATGATTTCTAGGCAATGAAAAATACTAACACAACAAATTAAAAAGATAGATATCTAACAACAAATAAAAAACTCCTAAACTCTTAAAATAATGCCTTATTCAAAAGAAAGACATATTGCTAATATTATTAACATTAAATCAACCTATCATAAAGCAAAATGGAAATAGACAATAAGGAAAGAAACCAAAAATAAAATTCTTAATTTTTATGTATTCATAATATAACCTAACATACCCAACACGTTGATGGCTATAAGGAGTTACAATTGTTTTTTGCTGATTGTCTGACCACCTAAGCAAGAAAAGTACTTTGCTTAGGTGGGCAAAAAGCTACCAGTAACAATATCCCAAAAGTAAATCAAAGAAGTGGAAAGAGTTTTCCATTCCACTGATAATTTTTAAACTGAGGACAGAATAAAAAGTCTTGCAAAGTTGCCCCTTTACGCTATTTCAGGTCAAGAAGGCTTGAGATAGTGTACATCTATAGCTCCTCCCTCACTGGATTCACAGGGGCTTTAACTGTCTGCATTTTATGTACTGAGAATCTAACACGTAATTTATCAATGAATTGAGACATACATTTTTTCAGAAAAAAAATAAGAACAATTTTTTGGAGAATTAAACATTGATAATTAACTTTGGAATGTGGCAATTTTAATGCCATCCAGATGTTGTAAAAGATTCTCTAAAATCCTAATGTAGAATGAGCTCTGAAAGAAATAGACCCAGGGCTAAAAATTATGAGAATATTTTGTTATACTAGTATTTGCATCTTCTTTACAGAAATTTAAGATTTAATCTCACTCTGTAATAATTTAGCCAAAAGTATGGAAACTAAATAAAATATATTGGTAAAAGACTGTTATGTGTGCAACAGATACATTGGTGCAATAAGGTTAAAATGACCTATTCAGCTAAAAAGTTTCAATTTGTAATCTGAAGATATATTTAAGATTTAAGGAGGCTTTACATGTCTTTTTTTCTAAAAATACAGTACTGTATTCAGTAAGGAATGAAAATAGAAAATAGTTGTGTGATTGATTGATACACAGTACATAATATATATGGATTTCAGCTTTATCAGCTATTTCAGATTTGCTCACTCTTTAATATTAACTTTCTAATTTCTATATGAAAATATCTTTAAATGAAGTTTTATTTATTTATTTATTCTGGTGGAATAAAATTAATGCTTTATTTTCTTCCATTTCCCTACTTTTCTTTTCCAATCTTTTAAACAAAGCTATCAAGAGCATCTCCATGCAGGTATTTCAGCAATGGAAATCTAAAATAGGAGCAATGTATTTTACAGCCATTTATACAATCTAAAAAATTAAGTAGTAGAATTTATAGCTCTATCACCATTTGCAAAGAATAATTTAAATATGCACTATCAAAGATTATGGGTGCAAAATAAATATGAAAGACACTGTCAGTATCTCTAACAAAAGACAAACAACAATACGGTCTGAATGTCTGTGGGGAAACATATCCCAGAGGTTTAAAAACAATTAAAAAATCTAAGTCCTTAGGAGGAACTAACATAAAGTATAATGTCAGCTTTTCCATATTGTTTTAAAAATGACAATTTTTGGCAGTTATAACTTAAATCATACCTCAGAAGTGATTTCATATCATTAAAAAATGAAAGAAACCAAAGTTCATTATTTGCTAAGTTTCAGTATTTCCTTTTGGATGTAATCAAAAACCAGGAACATGAAGTGAAGAAATAATATGAATTTATAGGTGAAAGTAATATTAAATAGCTTGCTGTTCGTTGCCTCTGCAATTTAACATATAATTAAAGCAAATTCAATTTAATTAACTAAGTATCGCTATTATTTTGGTTTTTAAAAAACTTGTATTTTGAACGTATATTTCAGTGACAGAATCATGTCTTTTCATATGAACTGTCCATTATCTATGGATCATTATTAGTTTTGGATTATACATAAAATCTGATGGGATGTCTGAACATATGAGAGCAAGATTAAATGAGAGATGTCACCCACCAACTCCACCTATAATAAGATGCTGAACATCACTCATTACCAACATCCTGCTCTTATACATAAAAATCAAACACAAATCAGAAGCAAGTCACAACAGCAATTCCTGGGAGCTAAGGAAGCTGGATAGGTTACTTTAGGCTAGTCACTTTCTTAGCCCAACCCACTCCACAGGGTTATTGTTGTGAGAAAAATAGGAGTCATATCCTATTTTAATATCCTAGTATTAGGTATGTTCACCAGCTTGAGTTTTTATATATATGAAAACTAGAGTAAAAATCATTCTTCATCATCATCATCATCATCATCATCCAGAAGGGGAGTAGCATACAGGCACCTACTGTGTACCTTGCATACAGAGTAGGAGGCTAGCAATTCTCAGAACCCCAACTCCATCTATCCTTAGTTGGTTTTTTTTTTAGCTAAAATCGACAAGGCTCCCACCTCCACACAAAAGCCATCAGCCTATCCAGCACCTGAAAATGGACGGAGTCCAGCCGGAGCATCTCATTATTTCCTCTGAAGCCACCCAAAGGAGTAGCCAGGGACAAATTTTCTGAGGAAGCCCACCCTGGCTTGGCCCAACCACCCCGCAGAGCCCAGCTGAGCCTGCAATACCTGTGACCCCCGTGTCAGGCCCCGGCCGCTGAGCTGTGCATGCCGAAGCTGGCCCAGGATGTTGATCGGTCCTCTCTTTGCTTCACGCCGGCAAGGCGTGCAGGAAACAGGGTCCGCTGCTGGTGGTAGAGCTAGCAATGCAGCTCCTGCACCCCCTATTGCGGATGCCATAGTCGCTCTTGCCCCGGCCAGACGCAAACAGGAAGCTTCTCTCCTCTCGGAGCTTTGTGCGTCGGGACGCCTTCCGGGACGAGGTGGGACGGCGACAGGAAGTACGCTTATTTACCTAAGGAATGATGGGAAATGAAGTCTTTGGGCATAATTAGGTACCGATACCGTACTGTGTACTAAGAGAAGGGAGCACTGAGCAACGTCAGCAAAGAGGAAAACGCTGCTGTTATATGTCTTCCGCAATCAAAGACTTCAGATTTTATGTCATCCAAGCTGCTGGTGGGATCAAGCTTGGTATTCTCTCATCTTAGGGTTTTTTTTCCCCTGTCGATTTCTGATTAGCGGTTGTCCGGATTTTTATCACCGATTGAAAAAATGTAAAATCCATTAGTCTCGGTCCTGTTCCCCAAAAGAAGCTTCAGATACGAAGAACCGGGACCGGCTTTGCAAGGCTATTGTTATTTAAGCTCTTATCTTTCTTATCTTGTTGAATTATATGCCACCTTGTTCCCGGCCCTGAACTCTTCCTCAGTAGTAGCATATTGTCATCTTGCCTTTAGAGTCCCATCATCCAAGACTATAGCATCAAACATTTTGTTTTCTTTCCATGTGGTTTTTAAAAATAAAAATACAGAATTGGTTTATAATTGCCTTCTGTAGTGCAGTATGAAATGATGTCTTCGCCTTTATCACTACTGATTGTCTGCATCCAGCATCTTCCTTTATCGCTGTTGCTGCTAAGAGATGGTATACAGTCTTGCTGTATTTTGCTCATCCTTCCCAGGAACACCTCACTTTCACCCCAATGGGACAATATAGCGGGATTTGAGAAAAGTGCCTATTCAACCCCCAAAATATGCTGATAAAGACAAGCAGAGACCAAGCAATTAAGTCAGTGAAAGCAAGGAGCAGTTGGGTCAGGAGGTTCTAGGTTCTGATCTTCAGCAGATGCTTGCCAAAATCAAATCTGGGCAAGACTTCATAGAACTATGTATAATACCAAAGGATTCTTTAGGTCACCATTTCCAAACCCATATGTCACTGTAATAGCTGAAACTTTGAGGACCTGACACGAGTCCTTGTTTGCCACTGAAGTATGAGTATATGCTGTATGAGTGGCTATAACACCAGGATTACCTGTATACGATTAGCAATCATTATAATTGATTTGAGATTATTGAAAAAAGAATTGATCACACTCAGCTTTCTCTTAAAAGCAGGACTTCCAGAGATAAATGGGCACTTTCTTCAACACTGAGTTCTTCAATTAAAACTTGTGAAGGCTGTCTCTCTTCCTCCAACCTGTTCTTTTGTGCTTTTTCCAGTGTTTTGAAAAAAAAAAAAAAAAAGGTGACGGAACTCACACGTCATACAATCCGCCTTGCCTACTCTACAAGGTTCCATCCAAAAAAGGTGCCGGAACTCCATTCTGGGTGTTCTATGACAAAAAAAGCCATGGCTTTTCCTATGGTTCTACTTAATGCTTGTTTTATAAGCATTCTGTGATGGATTGGCACCACTTAGGTGAGATGGGTGTTGCATAAATTTGATAAATTGGAAGAATTGTGTTTATATTGCGCACCTCCACATTACAATGCAATTTCCAGTACCGTAAACCTCATGTTCCCATTATACAGCATTTGTAGTGATTATTCAGCATGAATTACTCCTAGTACTAAAGAAGAAACATGAATAACATACAGTAGTGTATTTTGCAGAAACATTTGTTGATATCTTTTAGTGTAGAAAGAATAACTTGTTGCTTGGATATTGTCCAAGATTTTATATATAACATAAAATGAAACAAATTCTTTCCCAGCTTTTAAATCAATTATTTCAGAACTACCTCCCATTTAATTTCCATCTTTTTTTGCCCCAGCTTTAGATCTTGTTTGCTCTTGTTTATTTATAAAATTCAGAAGCTCACCAAGGTTATATTAATAGTTTTACCATGCTTAAGAATGAATAACAATGAAATAAAATCTTAAGAAACCAATTATAGTATATAAATATTTAATTTGGAAGGTGGAATTTAGCATCTCCGAATCTGCAGATTTCTTCATGTTTGGTGGGCAAACTGTCAGAATACCTGCATCTTTTCTTTAGCTCGCACAGTAGTATTTGCAACTGACATGATTTCAGAAAGGGCACATTTCACTGACAGCATTTAACAACTGATAGTATGTGCTTATTCACGCACACACAACATCCTGTTTTGTCTTTCAAATCTGGATCTCTGTGCAACCCTATTGAGTATAGTTTGAGATCTTCTGAAATTTACACAAATGGATGAGGTCCATGTTGGCAGTCCTTTAACGGCATTTCATGAAGGAAGAGATCCTAAATCTCACAGATAATCTCTCTCAATTTGTGCCAAAACATTCATTTAAAAATAGCAAGAGGTAGATTCTTAACTATATCAGTCTTAATTGCTCCTTTATATTGATATAAAACATTGGTAAAATGAAAAGACACAAATTCATTTTACATAATTAGAACACCCATAACATAGGAGCTTTTATGATTTTTCATAAGAAAAATCATCCTGGGTAAACTGCCAATACGAAGCATCATATTTTGAATATTTCAGTGTTTGTAGCACTTTCAACATTCATTTATAATTTAAGCAGGACACATTTGCTAAAAATATAAAAATAACTTACCAATACTGTGACATAACAAATGTGAGAAGTTGAAAATACAGTTTTACCTCATACAGAATAAGCATATACTCATGTCTAAAAATTTTAATTGTTGAGGAGTAGAAAAGTGAAAATGCAAAAAAGAAAAAAAATGATTTTTAAAAATATTTTCCTGCATATGCATGAAACAGCAGTCTTGTAATTCCTTGCTGCCTCTTTAATTTTTTTCCCTCCGCCAACTCTCTGTTTGCTTATGCTGTGATTTATGGAGAGAGAGAAAAATCTAGTGAAGCTTGTCTACTTATCCTTCTTCCTTCAGTGGGATTCCTCTACTACAGTGGTTCTCAACCTGTGGGTCGGGACCCCATTTGGGGTCGAACGACCATTTCACGGGGGTCGCCAAACAACGCAGTCTACCATTTTTTCCCCCTTTTCCTTAGCTGTGCTACTCCCTTTTATTCTATTGGCTTTTGAAAGCCAATAAAATAGACTCTCTTGAATAGAGTCTAATTCTATTGGTTTTCAAAAGCCAATAGGAATTGTCCAGGCTGTCTCTGCCCTGCTGAGCCCGTCAAAAGTCTCATTCTGCAAACGATGCTGCACCAGTTGAGTAGTCCTCAACTTACGATTGGTTGAGTACTCCTCGACTTATGACCAGTTGGGGGTCACAGCATTAAAAAGGTTGAGAACCACTGCTCTACTATATTTAATGCCGTCTGTTCATTCTGTGCAAAGAAATTGTTCTGTTCATAGAATTTAGATCCATAATTGACTGAGCATCACTGAAAAAACATCCTTGCTATCATTATCCAAATGTTACTGAAGTAGCCCATGATCAATTTTTAAACACCATCACAGTGCTCACCTTGCAGCATTACCTATAAACCAGACATCTTTGTCTTTTATTTTCCTTGGTTCAGAAAACTACTAAAAACAAGGAATGCAGGAGGAATCAGGGCCCAGCAAAATCAGAAAACATTGTAACTAATTTTTCAATTTCGAATATTTTTGCTTTCCAAAGTGGATCCATGTCAACAAAATGTATCCTGCTTTGAGAAACTACAGATTCCTATAGCATGTTGTGTATTCCCAGGGAAACAGTGACCAAAATGCAAATAAAATTCAAGTTTACTGATTTCAACCCATTTGAATTTCAGAAAAGAAATCATGCATTGTCAAAGAAAACCTGTCCCATAACAGCTAGTTTTGAGTTGAATGGTTGACTGGGGCAGCTCAGTAACGGGACCATCCTTTTTTCTTTCTGGTCTGAGCCTACCTGTCTCTTGTAATCTTCAGAGGAAATATCAGTAGAATCTTTTTGTCTTTTTCCCATTTTACCTGAAGTTCTTATGAAAGTGAACTTCTTACTCTTATTCAAAGAGTAGAATTCCCTCATTAAGTTTTCAACTTCCCACTGGTCTTCTTTTTGATTCCGGCAACAGTGGAGGGCAGCAGGATCTATAGGATGGGCTTCTGTATTGAAGATATATCCCCCAGCATCAAGAATACATTCTCCATATGGTGTCAGTAAGACATCAAAGGATGATCCATTGTTATGAATGAAGTTGTCACGATCAAACAATAGATAAAGATATTTCACTGTTTCAGCCAAGAAGAAGGACTCCATACGGTTATCTAATTTGTGATCTCTTAGGTCTTTGATCTTCAAAATAAAAGCAAAGAAGTGGTTATGTTGAGATGTGAAAACCTGCCATATAACACTAGCATCTTCCCAACTGATTGAAGTTGGATTAATGGCAAATTTCTGGGGCAATTCTGGTATTTCTACAATAGAATCAGAATTCAAACTGCTTACATACTATAGAATAAGCAAGAAGATGCTTTTGCTGGTAACAAGGAAGACTTGCAAGGAATAAACTGACCCCCGATATTCCCACCTTACCAAAAAAAAAAAAAAAAAGTTTGAGAGAAACACTTAACTGTTGCAAAACCACATTCGACTTTGCTGATTTTTTCTATTGACTCCACCACATCTCTGCCCAGCTCTAAAAGTGTTGGATCTTGTGTAGCACGATACAGATACATTGCGCTTTCTATTAGTTCTGCAAATCCACAGACAAAAGAAATGAAAGTTACTTTCCTGAATATGCATGTACTGAATGTAATAAATATAATAGCCAGTTTGGTACAGTGGTTAAAATGCTGGTCTAGAAACCAGGAGATTGTGAGTTCTAGTACTGTCTTAGAGGCATGAGAGCTGGTTGGGTGGCTTTCGGGCAGTTAATCTTTCTCAGCCCAACTCACCTCACAGAATTGTTTTTGTGGGGAAAATAGGATGAGGACCAGTATTATGTATGCTTGTTGCTTTGAATTACTTATAAAATAATAAAAGCAAGATAAAAAAACCCTAAATAACAACAATAGTATATAATGCCCCAAATATTAATTGCTCAGTCTTATAAA